CTAGTCTAAAGGTCATCAGGCAGAAAGAATTCTTACTCAAGGAAGGGTTAGCCTTTTTGTTCTATTCAGGCCTTCAATTGATAGGATAAGGTCCACTGATATTAGGAAGGGCAATCGGCTTTACTCAGTCTTCTGGGTTAAATGATAATCTCATCCAAAACACCCTCACAGAAATATCCAGAATAATGTTTGACGAAATATCTAGGTATTCCATGGCTTAGTCAAGTTGAAAAATAAAATTAGCCATCACACCTTCTTGAGTTAATTTTTGCAAAATGTATAAGCTTTAGGTCAAAATTTATTTATTTATTTATTTATTTATTTATTTATTGTTTATGGCTGTCCAATTGTCCTAGGACCATTTCATGAAAAGGCCACCTTTCCTCCATTAAATTGCTTTTTCATTTTTGTCAAAAATCAGTTGGGTGTATTTGTGTGGGCCTATTTCCAAATTCTATTGATCTATGTGTCTGTTCTTTGCCAATGCAACACAGTCTTCATTACTGTAGCTAAATAACCAGTCTTACAATCAAGTAGACTGACTCCTCCCGCTTTATTCTTCTTTTAAAAAGATGTGCTAGCTATTCTAGTTTGTTAGCCTTTACATATAAATTTTAGAGTAATCTTGTCTATATTTACAAAAATATTGCTAGAATAGGAAGATGCATTAAATAGGAAGAATAGGAGGTGCATTAAAACAGCAATCAAATTTCGAAAAAATTGACATCTTTACTATGTTGAGTCTTCCAATTCATGAACATGGTGTGTCTCTCTTTTTATTTAGATCTCCTTGGATTTCTTTTATCAGCATTGTGTAGTTTTCAGCATACAACTTCTATGTATGTTTTGTGAGAGTTACACCTATTTATTTCTTTTAGCAATTGTAAGTGAAATTATAGTTTTAATTCCAGTGTCCGCAAGTTCATGGCTACTATATAGAAATGCATTTTACTTTTGTATATTTGTTTTGTATCCTGCATCTTTGCTGGAGTTGCTTAATTCTGCTAGGTTTGTTTTTGTTTTTGTTGAGATTCCTAGGGATTTTCTGCATGATCAGTCATGCCATCTGCAAATAGGAATAGTTTTATTTATTCCTTTCTGATCTATATGACTTTTACTTCCTTTTTTTGCCTTACTACACTGGCTAGAACTTACAGCATTTTGTTGAATAAGAGTGGTGAGAGCAAGTATCTTTGCCTTGTTCTTGATCTTACAGGTAAAGCAGTCAGTCTTTCACCATTAAATATAATGTTAGCTGTAGATTTTTTTGTAGATGTTCTTTATCAAGTTGAGGAAGTTCCCCTGTATTCCTATTTTTCTGAGAGTTGTAATTATGAATGAGTGTCAAATTTTGTGAAATATCTTTTCTGCATTGATATTGATCGTGCATTTTTTCTTCTTTAGCTTGTTAATAATATGGTAGATTACATTGACTGAATTTCAAATATTGAACCAGCCTTGCATCCCTGGAATAAACTCTAGTTGATCATGGGTTTACTTATCTTACTGGAAGTAAGATTCGCCAGTGGAATTTAGAAATGATGGATTCTACTCCCAGGGAGTTGGCTCATTAGATGCCAAAATAAATGCAAAGTGACAAGAAAAAAGCTGAACATGTAATCCTTTGATTATTATTATTATTATCTGTAATAGCTGAAAGTAAGGGATAGTGTTGGGGCAGATCCTGAGGCTGGGCCAAGCTTGAATCCTGGCCAGTTTGAGCTGCAGCTGCTACCTCAGGGCCGCCTCCAAAGGGAAAAGTTATGCTGAACAACATATAGCAGACTGATTCCAAGACAATAGGGAAATAGAAAAGGGAGAGTGAATGAAATATTTAAACAGTTATTAAAAATGGTATGAATAAAGCAAGCAGTGGTGGTGTCAAAACAAAAGTCTTAATGCAGCACTCTCAGAGGCTGGGCGGCCCAATGGGAGCCTCTGCTGGTCCACTAACACTGAAGGGCCCTAAAAAAATCCATCCTAGTTCGGATAAATCCTAAAAGCTGCAAAGCAAAGATGACAAGGAGAAACCTGACCTCCAGTCGCCTCAGATGATGATATGCAATGTAATCAAGATTAAGAACTAAGGAGAGAAACTGGGTTCATTGGTCCAATCCCTGGCTGGGGGCCCAAAGCCAAATGTACATGAATAGGTAAATGGTCATGGATGGCAAAGAAACATTCCTGAAATTCCTTGGCATGGGAGCCCCATGCACTGTGGTTCTAAAACCTACTGGTAAAGTCCTAACAGAGGCTACAGGTAAATTGGGAAGATGTGGAAATACAAGGTTTGGTAGGATTAAGGTGAAATTTGGATAAAAACTGGAACATCTGAACAGATTCTATATGAAGTGGTTGCATCTCCTTATCATGAATGTACTCTGGGGGTGGATATTGTGTCTCCCCAAGGAGTTTCCCTTACCTGGTATTACAAAACGGAAGGCAGGTAAATCTGCCCATCAGGCAATTTGATTGGACATGCTAAATTGGAACAAATAAGATTGCCGAGCCCACATAAGTTGTTAATTTTAAAAAGTAGAGGATACCCGGTGGACAAAACATGTTCAGTGTCTGGTGCCTGAAAGGGTTTTCCTGTTTTTGGGAACCAATAAGAGTTAAATGGGAACCTGCAGGCCTGAGTTGCAATGCTCTGGGAGATAGTTTGGTCATATGTTATGACTGTCAGGGTGGCAGTCTGCCCTCGGTTCTTGGTGTGCTCTTGGCCAAAGAATGACCAGACACACCAAAGTGTCAAGTCCAGACTATTATCCTGGTTATCTGACTCCTTGCTTGGAAAAATCACCACTAGGGCCAAAGCCACGGAGTAACCTCAGGCAGGAAGCAGTTTCACATGAGCAGCTCATTACTGTACAACAAAAGGGGTGAGTCTCCGTGAGTGGACAGAGACAGACCGACTGACTCACTGACTCACTCTCCCTGAATTCTCAGATTGTTTCCTTTTATTAGCCCAGTCCCAGGGAAGGCTCTCAGGAGGTGTGGGATGTTATCAAATGATTGACGGGTGTCCTCAAAATTCCATCTGCCTATAAGAGCTCCCTCTCTGAAAACCCACCTTGGGGGCAGAGGTGAACCATGATGCAGATTCAAGCTAATGGCATAATAATTACCCTTAGGTTATTCTAGGTCACTTTGGAAATCTTATTATGCCTGGGCTGGGGAATTCTCAGATTGAGAAAACATTCCCTCTATCCCAGGTGTTGCTTGAGTTAGGATTAAGGGTGGGGCAACACCAAAATGGAGTGCGCATCCTTATCCTTCCTCCCAGGTGGAGCAATTCCTTAAGACAGCACCAAAACAGGGTACCCTTGTCCCTAGAAGAGCCAGAGATCCTAACTATCTACCGAATATGATGATGAACAGGACCAATTGTTGATGGCTGAGCAGATGTTAGTAATATGTCACTACCTTTTGACTCTTATTTTTCAGGTTATGTTTACTACCATATCTTGATACAGTATAACACCTAGCAGTGTTGGTGAGATTTTAATACTGATTATAATAATATTGATGGTCAAATGTGCTGGGAAATTGAGTTAAAAGCCTCCTACTTCACACTGGTTCCTCCAAATGTTGGACATATGTTCATTTGTCTGTAAGATAGCTTTGGCCAAAGGCCAGGTGGCAGCCTATGTAGAAAAGAATTCAGCCTTTTCTGAAAAGGTTAGGCCTTTGCCCTTGGCTTTTGGGAGGTCATGTATGTTATACTTGATTGGAGTGTCTTTGTTTAGACAAGAATTGGCCATGCCAGAAAAACCAACCATGTGATTTCGGTGGGGACTTTGTGTCATGCACTATCATCTGTCTAGTTGGAGATTGAGTTCAACGACGTGGACTATTAATCAAGCCTATGTAATGAGGCCCCAATAAAAATTCGGGACACAGAAACTCACATGATCTTCTTTGGTTGGCAATACTCCAAGCATATCGTCACATACCAATGCTGGCAGGGTCACACATTCTGACTCCATGGGAGACGACAACAGAAGATTTGCATTTGGAACTCTCCAAACTTTGCCCTATACATTTACTTCCTTGGCTTATTTTGATCTAGATTCTTTCCCTGTAATAAACTGTAACCACGAATACTCATAGCTTTCAGTGAGTTCCATGAGCCCTTCCAGTGAATTATCAAACCTGAGGGTGGTTTAGGGAGCTCCAAACTTGCACCGGTGTCAGAAGTCTTGGGGACTGTGCTCCCAAGCCTCGCGGCGTGGCTAACTCTGGACAGTAAGTCAAGAAGAGAAATACAGTACAGGATTTCTTCGGGGGTGTGACAAAAATGTTCTAAAATTTATGGTTGTGATCGTAGCACAACTCTGTGACTATAATAAAACCATTTATTACGCACTTTAAATCGGTGAACTGCATGGTAGCGTATGTGAATTAGATTTCAATAAAGCTGGTTTTGTTTTGTTTCGTTTTGTTTTGAACCTGCTTTGGTGAGCTCAACGACACGGAATCATCTAAGTGATTTTTCAAAACTCCACGTTAAGGTTTTCCGGTCCTGTGAAAAGCGAAAGTGGGCTGTGACCATTTCCTCAGTACACTAAGAAAATATGAAATGGAAGCCGGGATTTCAGGGCTTAATCTCCGGGCTTCCACACTGTCGTGCTCTGAGGTACGGTCCGGGCGGCGGCACTCACGAAATGGCGGAGCTCCCGAGGCCGGGGTGCTGCTGACGCTCGGCAGGAGGTTTTGGGAGGTCTGCAAACCTGCTCTGCGGGGTCCTAAGAGGCACCCTCAAAACGACCCAGGAGCAAGTCACCCAGCCCCTCCCAAGAGCGCTCGCAGGTGGCGCTGCCCCCTACGCGCTCGGGGACGCCGCGGTTCTGCAGGGCAGGTTGCGGGGCCCGTTCCCACGCCGGGGGCCGTACCGGACGCCCGAACCCCCCAGAAACTGTTCCGCCGGCGGCGGCGGCCTCAGAGCACCCCCGGCAGCCCCTCCCCGCCTGGGCGGCGCCCCTGCCCGGCTCCTCCTCTTCCCCTCCGCGCCGCCCCGCCCCGCCTGCGAACCCAAACACTGAGCCGCGCTGCGCGAGCCGCGCGAGACGCGCCGCCGCCGCCGCCGCCGCCGCCGCCGAGCCCAGCGCGCCTGTGCCTGCGCGGCCCCCGCCGCCGCGGCCGAGCGATGCTGCTGCTGGCGGCCGCCTTCCTCGTGGCCTTCGTGCTGCTGCTCTACATGGTGTCTCCGCTCATCAGCCCCAAGCCCCTCGCCCTGCCTGGGGCGCATGTGGTGGTGAGTGGCCTCCTGTTGCTGCGTCCCAGCCTCCCGGCCCGCTCGGCCAGCCGGCCACCGAGGCTGGGCCGCCGCCGTCCCTTTCTCCAGGCCAGGGTCCCCAGGAAGGGACGGCCAAATGGGGAGGGTCATCTGCCGCCGTCCACTCCGGCACTGTCACCTCAGGCCGAGCACCCGGCCTCCGAGGACCCTCCCTCCGTTGCACCTGGCTGCTCCTGGGGCTGGAGAGCGGTGCGACCGGGGGACAGCGCCAGCCCGCCGAGTTCCCGGGCTCCGGAGGAACCGTAGCTGCTCATTAATTCACGAGCATCCCTGGGATGTGGATATTTTGTTCTCCGCTTTCCCGATGAGTCAACTGAGGAATAGAGGGGCTGAGAAACTTTGCCAAGGACACAGCGGTCGGTGGCGCGCGGGGTGCGGAGCGCGGTGCCAGGGAGGGCGCAGACGCCGCAGGGTCGCGAGGGGGTGGACGGCAGGGAGGGCGGGTCCCAGCCGCCGGGACCCGCTGAGGCAGCTCGCAACTGGAAGATGGCCTGTGCGAGTGACAGGAAGAGCAGTTGCCAAAGGATTCCAGGAAGTGACTCTGAACCCAGTGGGCTGGCGGTCCTGGTTAGCGGCATTGGGACGCTTCTGTCCCGTCTGCACGCTTGTCTCTGAGCTCAGTCCGGGGGCTGCTGATTGCTGCTTCGAAGCAATCCTTTGCCATTACTTCAGAGTCAAAAGGGTGAGCCTAACGACACGGGTGGTGCTGTAGGAGTGAAGGAGATGTGGATGGGTTTGGTTTGTGTCCTGCCGGAAGCCCGCGTATTCAGCAATCCCTACTCTGCATGTGTGGCACCTTCCTTACCCTGAGAGAGAATGCTTCCCCGCCCTTGACCGTGTGCGGTAGCTTTCTCGTCTGCTTTCCTGCTCGGATCTCCCACCCCCAAAGCACACTGAGGCGGGGAGTTAGGAGTAAGGAGAGTTAGTTACTAAGCCGGCAGCACGTATCTTCCTGGCACATCAGCTCTGTATCTGCGCTCCGAGCCTCCCCACCCAGACGTTGTAGGATAAGATGGTCGTTTCTTTTAGTGTGCTTTAAATCTGGACAAGAGTTTGTGAATGAGACCGTGTATTTTCTTTAATTTCTCCTTTGTTAAAAAAAAAAAAACAAAAATTAGCTTATTTCCAACTCCTGCTATTCCTGATTGTGGAAGGGTAGGTAAGGAGTTGTCCAGATTCATTAAAACAAGAAAAACTATATAATCATACTAAACTCTGAAAGTTTCACAGCCACAAGAAAACGTATGCCACAAAAGCATGGATTCTTTCAGAACTTGTGCTTGCAGAGGATAATTTGGAAAAAAGTAATGCCATAAGCAGAATGAAAATTTTGATTCCTTGTTTATAAGACATTTTCACTTAACCCTGACTGTAGTCCTTGCAGCCCCATGAAGCCGCAGGCCATAGGTAAGATGAGTAAATGTCATGTCTGGTTGGGATAGACTAAGGAGAGTTTCTTATTTTTACCATTCCACTTTAAAACAAAGGATTATTATTTCACACTATAAATAAGGTGAGAATGACTTGAATAATTCGTACGGGTGTTACCATCTGTCATCTTTTTTAATGTCCTAAGAAGAGTGAAAGTGCAATTATTTTTCCTGAGATTTTTTTTAAGACTAGACTGGGTGGTTTTAGGAGGGGGAGCTAATCTTTAGACTGTCGGCTTGTGTGGAAGTATGAACAAACTTATAACTATTGTCTCATTTTTAGAAAAATTCTTGTATGTTGGTGTTATCCATCTAATTACAGTAGCAAAACTGCAGCAAGTCTCACACAGTATGTAGTTATTTATATATCCCCCCTTTTTGGAGATGACTGGATAGGAGTAGCTCTGGCAGCAAACAGTCCCCTCTGTTGCCCTTAATAAGAGCTATATGATGTGATTAAGATAGTAACACTTAAAAATTATTTGCAATGAATAGTAAGAGGGAATGATAAAGGAAATTGAACTATTATCTTTAGTGTGTCCCGTCTGGGCTCGATTCAGCAGCAGTTGTCTGGCAACTCAATAGACATTTATCACTTTTTTCAGCCCTTGTGGAAATCCCTTATATTTTCTTATAACATTCAGAATAACATGGCCAGTTGGCATAAGTGTATTCTTAGATACCTTCTAAGAACTACCTAACTTGACTAGGTTAATTTCCCACAAACCACAATCCAAAAGCTGACGTCATACTCTTCTTGTGATCAGGTTTAAACCTGTTTCTTGCTTTGCAGTAAATTTACACAGCTAGCTTACCTATACATGGTCTAGAAAAAGGACAATGATAGCAATAGCTTAAAATCTACAGAGCATTTCAGAGCATACACATTTTCTCAATAACGTCATAATTTCCATTTCCATCAATTCATTGAATAACAAATAGGGAAATTTTATTTACAAGTTTTTTTTGGCATTGTACTTTTCATAGAAATGATATCATACACCAGTTGGCAAATTAACATAGGCAAGCATTTCTTTAGCAACTGCTTTTGCAAGGTGCTGTTCTAGGAATGAGTGAAATCAGTTGGACTTGGTTCTCATCCGTAGAGAACTGATGTCTGGCAAGGGAGCTAAGATATGTAAGTAACTGCACAAGGTAGATGCGACAGCTGAAGGATAGGACTGGGTAATAGAGTCAGGAAAAGCTTCATGGAGGAGGGGATGTTTGAGCTGGGCTCTGTAGGATGGGTAGGGTTTGGAAATGTAGGTGTGTGTGGCATGTGGGTGGAGGGACATCCAAGCAGCAGAGACAATGAAACAGGAACATTTTTGGAGGTCCTGCCAGTTGCTATGGAATTGTCATAGCTGGTGCTATTTAATAAGCCAAAACAACCCATGAACTATCCCTGTAGCAAAGACCTCCTCAGAGGCAACCGTTAGCCTAGGCAATAGGTATATTTTTACAGCAACCTTCTGTAGATAATTGGTTAATTATCCACCAAGGAAATCTCTTCAGTAGTGGCAAGTTGACGCTAAAGAGTTATAAGGGATGCCTGTGAGTCACATGGAAGTAGATGCATTTGTGTAGGAGGCTCTCCACGATGATTTGAAAATCGTGGGATGGGGTCACAGCTGTTTCTTACAGCATGATTTATGTATAACAGTAAAATATTAAGAAATAATCTGAATGTCTGAGCATAGGGAAATGGTTAAGTTTGGATATAGCTATTTAATGCAATATTGTGAAGCCTTTTAATTTTTGACATAAGACATTACGATATAATTTTTTTAAAAACAGGATACCGTACCATGCAATATTATATAATTTGCATGGGGACAAAATGACTACAAAGATAATGTTGCATTTGTCTTATTCAGTGAAATATATATCGAATCCCTGTGCTAAGGGAGGAGTTTATGGGGAGGTGATAGGAAAGATGGTTAAGAATCAAGTAATCACACAAATAAATGTATGGCTGTTTGATTTTGTGTGTGCCATAAGGTAGAGAGGAAGGTATGCGGTGCTGAAAAGTAAGGCGGGTGGGGCTGAGGAGGCAGCAAAGGCTTTCCTGAGGAAGTGATATTTGAGCTGAGATTTGATGGGTGAGTAGGTGCCAGTTAGATGAAAAGAGGGGAGGGGAGCATTCTTGGCAAGAGAAATAGAATATGCAAAGGCACTGTGGTTGGAAGGTACATGGAACTATGGAACTGAAAGACAGCCAGTATGGCTGAGCTATAGATAATGAGGGGAAAAATAGTGTAAGAAGAAAACCTTTACTTTTCAGATTTTTCTTATGAGTATATATTACTTTTATAGAAAGCACTTATTGCAAATATCATAAGATATATACAGGTGACCATTCTTGTAATCTGTTGTAGTCATACTCAGAGGTACAGTAAGGAAATAAGATTCATTTGGATTTGGAATCAGAGGCAGACTAATGCCTTATTTATTAGCTAGACTTATAGGTTACTTTTTTGCCAATGAACTCAGAAAAGTATCCTAAGTGTGCAATTTATGCTTCAGTACTGAAAACTGTCGAAGCAGCAAGCCCTACTGACAGTCTTTCATGCTTGCACTTACTCCAATTGTTGAGTTTGGTATGAAGAAGATACAGTAGCTAAACATTTAGGTCTTGTAGATTCATTTCTAGAGCACATCATAGTTATTTTTAAAAATAGCTATTTTTAAATTAAGGTTTTTAAAAATCTTCCTGCAGAGGGGAAATTTCAAGTGCTAAGAAGATTTTATGATTTTTGTTTTTAGGTTACAGGAGGTTCCAGTGGCATTGGGAAGTGCATTGCTATCGAGTGCTATAAACAGGGAGCATTTATTACTCTGGTTGCACGAAATGAGGTAAGTCTTCTAGGTTTGTTATTACTAACTTACTTATTCAACTTTACATTAGTCAAAGAGGCTTGCTAAACTTCTTAGCATTCACAACTGTACTGGAAAGTGCTTGGCTTCCTTAATTTGAGATGTGATTCCTGAACTACTGGTTCTTTCTCCTATGTAGGCCAAATACTTCTCAACTGAAGTCAGGTCAGCTCAATAGATGTTTATTTATGTTTATTAACATATTAGGCAGCACCATCATAGATACCGCAGATCTTGAGTTGGAAGAGGCCGAGGCATAGTTAAGTAGCACACCTGGCCATAGGAAGCCAGGCAGGGCCCTGTCAGGCCAGAGGCATTGGAAGCAGTGATTCTGGAGCTGATACCTGAAGGTGTGTAGGTGTTTCTCTGTGGTTTCTCTGTATAATTTACTTATGACATGATAGATATCTCTAGTGAAATCTAGACACCACAGAGGAGTCTCATTCCTCCCTAGAAGTTTAGCATAACATGTTTTTCTCAGTCAAGTTGATGCAGGATCTGTTTTTCTTTCTTCAGAGTCTATTATTCTTACCAAAGTTGTTTTTGGAGTGCAAAGCAGTGATACTGTGCGCACACAAACTGTCATGAAGTCCTCTTGCTCCCATATGGGGGCCAGGGGATAGTGACCATAGCTGCCCTGTCCACTGCTGCTATTCTGTGTGTGGCACATAGCACGTGCTCAGAGATATTTGCTGAATGAAGAAATGAAGGGAGGAATGATGGAGAGTGTGGGAATGCCAGCATGGCATCGTTGCTTGGGGATTTTGGATTCACCTACGCCAAAGGATGGTAATAGTGTGGTAACTGCTCAAGTAGGGCATGGACAGCGGAACAGAGCCCAGTGGGAATGGCAGGTCAGGGAGGGCCTTTGGGGGAAAGTGTTTAAATAATGACACAGAATTAGGCCTGGTCACCCACAATTTCTTTTAAAAACCAAGAAAGGCAGAATTAGCTACCTGTCTTTTATTTATAGCTTTACTTCTCTAACAGTGAATTTGCTTTGTCATTGAAGCCACTTTATGTGAATGAAAACACAAATTTAATGAAATGGCATCTTGTGAGTTTTAAACAATGCCATTGTTTGACTCAAGATAAATCAAAATGGAGGCAGGGGAGCCCCGTGTTTCAGGTGTTCAGGAGCTCTTAGAGGGTGAGCTGACGAACCTCTGGCATCAAGAAATTCTTTTTCTTTTTTTTAATCTAATGTTCTTTTTCACTGTGGTGCCAGTGTTAGGAACCAGGCTGCACAACAGGAGGTGAGCAGCAGGTGAGCAAGCAAAGCTTCATCTGTGTTTACAGCTGCTCCCCATCACTTGCATCTCTGCATAAGCTCCGCCTCCTGTCAGATCAGTGGTGGCATTAGATTCTCATAGGAGCACAAACCCTACTGTAAATTGCGCATGCGAGGGATCTAGGGTGAGCGCTCCTTATGAGAGTCTAATGCCTGATGATCTGAGGTGGAGCTGAGGTGGTGATGCTAGTGCTGGGGAGCGGCTGCAAATATAGGTTTATCATTAGCAGAGAGGTCTGACTGCACAATAAATGTAATATGCTTAAATCATCCCAAAACCATCTCGCCCACCCTCTCCAGTCCGTGGAAAAATTGTCTTCCACAGAACCAGTCCCTGGTGCCCGAAAGGTTGGGGACTGCTGCTTTTTTATTCCAATCTCAGCAAAGTCAAGTTTTATGTATCTTTAGTAATAGAACAATGTATTTTTTTATAGACACGTTCAGGTTTAGAAACCTTACATGTCCTTTGGAAGAATTTTCTTCCCCTTTTTTCTTCTCTATATCATACTATTATTTAAGTTACTTTTGTAACAAATTAAGATACTATAATCCAATGTCTGTTTTCTTGAAAGTAAGTAAAACAAACAAAATTGAGACCTTAGAGGAATTATTCAGTTACTTGGTAGCTTTGCTTGTCTTCAGAGTATTTTATAAAGTAGCCAGGTAGAGGTTTACCCATTTCAGCTACAAAGTGATTTTTACTATATTTGCTTTTATAGTAGAGGAGGAAAAGTTTGGACAATATCTTATGAAAACACTCTTGACACGGAATGACACATACCTTTAAATTTGAAAGCATTTCACATTAATATGTTTGCTCTTGTTTTAATTCATAACTTAATAATGTCAGATCAAACCATATGTTAGAACTGGAGCGTGACCATCAGCAGTTAATACTGTTAATTGGGATTTTGAGGTTCATTTATTTTTCTATTATCTTTCTCTGCAGTGAATTTAAAAACCTGTTATCACTTATTCATATCTTAACATACTTTACAGCTTTTCTTCCCTAGACTGTGGCCCAGTCCACCTGTGCAATGTAGATACTGTTTTGTGTATTTTCTAGAATTTAACAAATAATACTTAGACAAATACTTAGGCAAATAACTGCTTTTTCTTTCATTTTCAACAGACAGACATAAGTATAGACAATCACCAGAACTAATCATTCCATGTTGCTTTCAGGACAAGCTGCTGCAGGCAAAGAAGGAAATTGAAAAGCACTCTATTAATGATAAACAGGTAAATCTCTGTCTTCAGAATGTATTTTCTGACATCATCAACACACTTACATAAAGGAAAAAAAGGATTACTTCAACTGTGAATAGTTACCTAAAAGCATATATGATTTTCCTAATTAAAACACATATTACACTCTTTTTAAAAAGGTAAAATTGTTTGAATTGCCTAGGAACTCAGGTTATACCAAAAAAAAAAAAAAAGAAAGAAAAAGAATAGACTGAACACACATCCACAAATGGTCGAGTAACAGAATGTTTTACTAGAAAATGATTTCATTTAAATTATTTATTTAAATGAACTTTATATAAGTGCTTAAGAGGAAAGAGGTATTTAAAACATATATTTCAGTATAAAACATAATAACAAATTAATCACCATATACCCATCACCCAGCCTATGGAATAGAATTTATCAGGGTCTCCGAAGCCCCCTGTGTGCTCTATGGCAGCCTCATCTCCCTTGTCTTATTTCTGGAGGCAACCCCCACCCTGATTTTTGTGTTGCTCCTTCCTTTGATTTTCTGTACAATTTTATCATGTATGCACGTGACCCTAAATAGTCTGTTGTTCCGTTTTGCTTCTTTTTGAACTTATGGTATCATTCTCATTTATTTATTTATATATTTATTTTGAGATAGAGTCTTGCTCTCTTGCCCAGGCTAGAGTACAGTGGCGTCATCATGGCTCACTGCAACCTCAAACTGCTGGGCGCAAGCATCCTCCCGCCTTAGCCTCCCCAGTGGCTGGGACTACAGACGTGCCACTACAAGCTATTTTTCTATGTTTTGTAGAGATGGAGTCTTGCTCTTGCTCAGGCTCGTCAGTTCTTCTTCTTTTTTTTTTTTTTAACAGTCTTTATTGAGATATATAATGATTCAGACACCATACAATTAATTGACCCATTTCAAGTGTACAATTCAGTGGTTTTTAGCATAATCACAGAGTTGTACAACTATCACCAAAATCAATTTTAGAACATTTTCATCACCCCGTAAGGAATCTCTGTACCCATTAGCAGTCACTCCCCCTTCCCTCCCAACCTCTTCCCAGCCTCAGGCCATCACCAATCTACTTTCCGACTCCGTAGATTGGTATAACATCATTCTTCATGCTTTCTTGTGCAACTTTATTTCTTTACCTGGTATTATTTTAAAAATTCATCTATGTCGCCACATGAAGTAGGAGTTCATTCTTTAACTGCTATCTCCTATTATATGTAAGGCTACCTTTTGTTCATCAGTTCTACTATTGGTGGATATTTAAGTTGTTTCCATTTTTTTTATTTGTTTGTTTTGTTTTTTGCTTTCGGAAGAGTTTTCACTATGTGTCTTTATACACATGTACAAGAATGGTGCATACCTAGAAATGGAACTGCTGAGTAGTAGTGTGATGTGTGTCTTCAACCTCACCAAGGTGGTCACAGTCCCACCACTTGGATTTCAGTTCCTGTTGCTCCACATTCTTGCCAACTGTTGGTATTGGCAGACTTTAATTTTTGCCTTTTTGATAAGTTTTAGATAGTATTTCACTGTGGTTTTAATTGCCTTTTCCCCTCTTCAGAATAGGTTAGAGATCTTTCCATGCCAATTAAATAAATCTGCCTCATTTTTTTAAACCACTGCAGCAGAGTTAAATAAACCAGCGTTTATTTAAATTAGTTCCCTGTTGCTGAGCTGTTCCCATTCTTTTTGTTTGTTTTTGCTATTGCAATCTGTGCCGCAGGTGAAACTCCTCGTCCGTATCTCCTGCATACGTGTGAGTTTTTCTCTATGACTATGGCCTCTGCCTGTACCCTTTTCTCCGAAACCCACAAACATTAGAAGAACACCAACCCCCGCCCCCATTCTTGCCATACTCCTGTAGCTTCTGATAGAGAAAGGAGTGTGGTGTGAACCACGGATCCTGAATGCTCACGGCCAAGGCCAGTCTTGCCTGCTGCCATCACCACCTCTGCCCTCCCTTCATCTATCAGTGCGTTAGGACAGGTGGAAAACTTTGCTTTCATATCAAGGAAGGGAGATTATCCGGGCCGGGGTGGGCAAAAGTGAGCTTGATCCTTTGGCCGTCCCACCGGGCTTGTGTGGGCATTTTTTTTTTTGGTGCCTTTTTAATAACAAAATTTTCTAAAAATTTCATTTGTGGTATAGATTTTATTTACAGTAACTGATCTAATATTGTATGAAAAGGCATGCTTTAAAAGTAATCATATGATTCCTACTGCCTTTGAAAAATGTTTTCTGTGTGAGGATGTAGAGATAGAATCCACTTTCAGCCAAGGACAACCCCTCTAGGCTGGAATACTTCAGGTTATGTTTCTGAAGGTGGCATTTACTTTTCTTAGAAATTTAAATCATTTGGACGGGGTTCCTTCTTGCATTAAATAAAACTTCCTGCCCCTAAGACAATGGGTCCCTTTTTATTCAGCCCTTTGGCATGGCTTCTCAGAGCAGGAGAGAATCTTGGTCATCACTGGCTTCTGACGGCCTTATTTACCGTGGAGGCCACTGCACCCTTCTCAGGTTCTACTCGACTAGAAAGTGAAGAGCCAGGATTGGAACCCAGGCTTCTCACTGGACTCCTCCCAGCCCCACGTGGGTGCATATTGTTTCAGCATGGATGTGCCTCCTGTACACACGCGTTCTCTCTCCCTGTTAGTTTGCCAGCCAGTCTCAAAAAGGAAGAATTAATGGAAGGCTGAGAAATTGAGAACACCTTTCTGCTTCTTACAATGACCTCCTTTGGAACATGGAACATTCCTCTGTTGGAGGTCTAAGCCCTGGATCTGAAAACACTACTCGAAAAGGAAAATCAAAAGGGCTCTTGATGTCTTTTTCATAAATTTCTATCAAAGTAAGCACCCAAGTCTGTGCTTCCTCCCTTTCTTCCTCTTTGCTTTTCTTCTCTTTTTTCTTTTCAAAGTCTAAATGCAACTGTTGTCTGTGGTGAGCACAGGCTGCGCTCTTCCCCACCATCACTCTGCTGTGGCCCCCTGAGCATGGCTGGGTTTGTCCTGGGGGGGCTCTGGGGTCTGCTTGGTGTCCCTTGTCCAGACAATTTGTGAGTGGCCTGATCAGCTCCAGAGTCAAGGGTCTCAGGCAAACCTCAATGCCACTCTGCGCCCAGCTCAGGTCTGATGGGCCAAGATTGACCCTCGGCCTTCCTCGTCACATAAAGTCCTGTGGTCCACTTGGTCTGTCACTGACTCAGTCCCCAGCATGGGCCCAAGCTGAGGTGGCTTCTGGAATAGGTGTTTGCTCAACACTTTGTTCCACCTGCTGATATTGAATCTCAACAAGGTCGTCATAGCCAGTACTGCTTCAAGGGGAGTATTTTTAAAAATTTATTATGTTTATTATTATTCTTTTTAACAATTTCATTGAGATATAATTTATATATAATAAACCACACTCATTTGAAGCGTATAGCTCAATGGCTTTTGACAGATGAAACACCACTGCAGTCAGGCACAGGGCATTTCCATCGCTCCCCAAAGTCTGCCCATGCCCTTTCCAAGTTCTTTCCATCTTCTACTCCTGGCTGCATGGCCCCTGATCTACCTTTTGTCACTATAGATGAGTGGCATTTCAAGAGGAGCATTTTTACATTTCTTAAAACATTCTTTGGAGTTTGTTTAACTCTGAAAACTGCCAAGAAAATTAGACTCTACTAATTGTATTGTCAGCAGATTTCAAACACTACAATCTATATGTTCAAAATTGGCCTTCTTCTTTATTGGAAAGAATTGCCTTTAATTTTAAAAACATCTTTTAAAAATAGTTTTGACATCTGCATATTTTTGATGATTTTTTTTCTTTTTTAACAGGTGGTGCTTTGTATATCAGTTGATGTATGTCAAGACTATAACCAAGTAGAAAATGTCATAAAACAAGTAAGAGGTTGGGCTAATTGGAATTAATCCTCTTGACTTTTGATTGGTTCTTACCATTTTGCTGTGTGACTTGGAATTGGTAAATCTTCCCTATAGGTTTAACAGTTTAAATGTTATTTATTAGCATTGATTTGCTGCTATGGTTTTTCTCTTCTCTTTCATAATGCCTGCTCTGCTACATTTTTCTAGGCACAGGAGAAACTGGGTCCAGTGGACATGCTTGTAAACTGTGCAGGAATGTCACTGTCAGGAAAATTTGAAGATCTTGAAGTTAGTACTTTTGAAGTAAGTAAAAATGTTCACTCACTAGGGTAGCCCATATACTAAAAGTAGAATAAGCCCTGGGTAAAGGCTTTAAGATGGAAACAAATGAATGCATTCAGATGTTCGTGGAAGTGTGAGAGGACCAGAAGAAGGCTGAACAAGGCTTTGGTCCCAGTGCCATGACTATTTAACCTTAAGAATTTAGACAAGTTTCTCAACCTTGGTTTTCTCAGCTGTGAAATGGGATTGAAACCTCTAACCCGACACGGATCACTTCAGCGATTCGCTGAGGTGGTATTTTCAAGAGAGCACTTGATAATCCAAGAGATGTTAGATGTTCAGGTCAAGTTCACATCATGTATTATTAGCAAGGAGAAACCAAAACTATTGGAGGACAGACTTGCTAGACTTCTCAAATAAAGGTAAAAAGATAATGCATCTATTGATGTTTCTATTTTTAAACAGATTTGCCAAGGAACCTCTCTTAGTAATTTATTTAAGCATCAAAAAATAGACATTAGATTTGAAATCTTTTTAAAGTGCACAGCATTTTTTAGTTGGCAGCACATCAGCCATCAAAAAGATGGCTTAATGTTCTCTTGAGTCTTCATCGTAATAATGGGTTTCAAATGCTTGACTTTGTGAAGTTAAATTACATTCCACTTTTGTAGGAAAAGAGACGCTGAACCAGCAGCATCTGGTAGGCTGGGGAAAGCACCATTAACTCTGTGGTTTACTTAAGACAAGTCAGGAGAGTCAAGAGGTGGACACAAGCAGAGTGATGGAACTCGAGTATCGTAAGACTCCTTTATCAAGTAGGCGTAAAAGAGAGCTGTCTAGGCCCGTGTACCTTCATTGGTAAGGAATGGAAGGCAGATTTCCAAGATTATTCCACTGTCTATATATAGGATCGATTAGGGAAAATAGTTTTTATAGTAGTATAGACATGCAGTGATCAAGCAGAAGACTTGGAAGGTAGCCAGAAAAAGAGGAGTAAGTGGTGAATGTGTGTGAGAGGGTGCATGCAAGATGTAGGAGAATCGGCAGACTCACTTGACTAAATGTGGGGGATTCAGTGGATTGAGGAATACAGAAGTGCATGGTTGTGATAAATAAATGCACAGCTGTGATGTCAGGACCTCAGGAAGTGGGGCGTGTCTGTTGGGGGCAGCAGCAGTGGAGATTGGCTGATGGAAGCACCAGGATAATTGAGGTTTTGTGGAGGTGTGTCATTGTGAACAGGAAGAGAAGAAACTGAGGTTTTAATAACAGGTGAATGTGTGTCGGTATCCATGACAAGGAGAGAGGTGGAGCAGGGGAGATGAGGGAAGACATAAAAATATATAGAGTGAGTATAACATGAAGCATGGTGAAATATAAAAACATGCACAATTCCAATCTTTGTAAAAAACTAACTTTACTCTTAACCTTTTAGCCTCCATTCACACTGCCATTTCCTTCCTTCTCTTTCTTTCTTTTAAAAAACAAAATCACAATTTATTTCTTTTCCATGACCACCATCATCTTTCCACACCTGTGCCACCCACATGGACTATTTGTTGTGCTGTTTCCCAGCGGCAGGGTACAGTCAGAAAACAAGGTGGGCTTTGGCATCAGGTTAAACCGGTTTCAAGTCTTAACTCTAATGGTTCCAAGTCTGACCGTTTACTAGCAAAGCATTCTGCTTTCTTCTGGCATCAGCTTTCCTTCCAGCCTCAGCTTCCATCTCTGTAAAATGGATATAGAGCTCACAGAGCTGTGAGCATTAAGTAGCATAATGTCTGCCCGTGTCAGCTGTTTAATAAATGCTAATCTCCTCCCCCTTTATTCGTTCAATCCACATATATTCAAGCGAATATCTGGTGTGTCAGTGTTGTTCTGGGGGTGCCGTGGTGAGCAAGGAAATAAAGTCTTGGCCTAAGTAAGGTAGGGCAGGCCGTGATGGGCAAGCAGATAAGCGGTAGGAGAATTATTTTTAAGTTTTCTTTTGTCCTTTGATTGTCTCCGCTTTGTGTGTGTGTTTATTTGATCTAAGAGGCCAATGTCTCAGTCTTTCGTGTTAGAGGCTTCGCTGGGAAGTCTGGTTGCTTTCTGAGGGGTTGTTATCTGGGCCTTATCTCCGGGGGAAGTTTCTGTGTCAGTATCTGTAGACTTTGTCTCCTGGGTTGGTTAGAAGCCCTGAGAAGAGTCTTCCAGCTCCTACCTAGGAAGTACAGGCCCGTCCATGGTGGAGCTGGGGAAGACAGCTGGCCTCTCAGTGTTCAGTGTCTAGACAGACTTTCACTTAAACCTCTCGCTTTATCTAGACTTACTCTCTAGAAACTAAATCTCCAGTCTCCTCCAGGCCAGAAGAGGGGCACAGATCTGCTCTATGGGGAGGGAAAAGGCATCTAGGATCTGACTGCTTTTTTCTTTTTGTCATTGTCACACATCGATTTTTTTTAAATTGAGGTGAAATTCATTTAACATAAAATTAACCATTTTAAAGGGAACAGTTCAGAGATGTTTCGCAGATTCACAGTGTTATACGACCTCCACCTCTATCTAGTTCCAAAACATTTTCATCACCCTAAAGGGAAACCCTGTACCTACTAAGCAGTTGTTCCCTATTCCCTGTTTTCGTCCCTGGCCACTGACAACCACGAAGCTGTATTCTGTCTCTCCGGATATTTTGTATGAATGGAATCACATGATATATGCCCTTTTGTGTCTGGCTTCTCTCACTTAGCATAATGTTTTGAGGTTCATCCACATTGTAGCAGGTATCAGCGCTTCATTCCTTTTTATAGAGTGATAATGTTCTGTTGTGTGGATGTACCACATTTTGTTTATCTAGCTGGCATTTTGTTTGTTGATGGACATTTGAGTTGTTTCTAGCTGACTGCTTTAAACAGATTCATAGTCCATACTCCTGACTTTCAGCCCTGTGTCCACCCACCCCTACCCCCGACCCCAGAGATACTTGGTGCGGCTTGAGCCGGTTGGGACTCTGTGGTGCAATCCTGTTTTTCAGTTTCTCCCACTTAGCTTTCATGTTCCTGTGGCTGGCTACGTTAGTTATCACTTGTCATTCTGTTCTTCAGCTTCCTAAAGGTTATTGCTGCTGTTATTTTATTTATTTATTATTGGTTGATTGACCGATGGATTGAGACAGGGTCTCACTTTGTTGCCTGGGCATGAGAGCAGTGGCATCATCATAGCTCACTGAAACCTCACACTCCTGGGCTCAAGTGATCCTCCTGCCTCAGCCTCCCGAGTTGCTGGGACTACAGGTACACGCCACCACACCTGGCCAGTTTTTCTATTGTTTGTGGAGATGGGGTCTTGCTATGTTGCCCACGCTGGTCCTGCCTAAATGCCTAACCTTAATCCACCTGTCGTGGCCTCCCAAAGTGCTAGGGTTATAGGAATGAGCCACCATGCCTGGCCTATTGCTGTTATTTTTATTCCTATATTCATTGTTCTTGTGTGATCTTGCCCTAAAGAAAAATTTCCTTACTGAGATTTTAATGGGTTCTCTAAAGGGTGCCAGTATAAATACATGGACTTAGTGTACTATCTTTTTTCAAATACTTTTTAAGAACATTTTCATTATCAAAATAATATAATACTATTAAAACACATTTTGGGTAAAAAAAAAAAAGAGAATCCCAACATCCTAACACAATCACAGTTTTCTGTATTTCACTGGTTTTGCACCTGAGCTTGTGTACTTTTATTTAATGTTTAAAATAGTTAGAGTCTCAATGTGAATACAGTCCTTTGTTCAACTTATAGCATAGATATTTCCCCATCTCTCCCAGTGTTTCTGGTCATCATTTCAAAAAGTTACTTAATATTCTCTTAAGTTACTATATCATGATTGACTTCAAGTCCCCAGTTGAAGTGTTTAGTGTTACATGAGGATCTAATGTTTTTACAAATATTTGAATATTTGAAACATTTTAATGCAGGTAATAGAGAAACATTTTAATGCAAGTATTCTTAGGTTTTCAAGTTAAGATTTAAGATTTTTAAGAGCTCTCAGGATGAGGGAAAAATATACTATTAGTCTCTATGCAAGCTGTTACCCACTAAAATATAAGAGCCAGTGTTTTGTGAGTTCTTACTTAAGCCAGGGGCTGTGCTAATGCTTAACTTGTGTTTTCTCTTTGGATCCTTGCAAACACTCTATGAGGTAGTACCAATATTAACCTTGTTTTCAGCTCAGAAAATGGGTGGAGTGTCTGACTCTCTTACTCATCATCAAATAGCCAATAAATGAGAGAGCCAAGGCTTGAAACCAAAATCTGTACTGTTAACCACTGTCTTACTCTCTTTGTGGTCTTTTTTTAGCTTAGAATTAAGGGCTAGAAATATTTGGAAGCTCTTTCCTAAAACTATCTTTCAAGAAGAAATATTACCTGCAACATGCTGTATACTTTTTGTAAGGAGAAAACTAATATTGACCAGTTTTCAGCAAAGACGTGACTGCTGTCATTGTGAGAATGCGAGACTAGATTGAAATAGGCTTTACATGGTAGGTCCTGAGGCTTCAGTGCTAGGCTTCATATCACATCCCATTTGCAGCATCACTTAATCATCATTCATTCAACAAATCTAAGCAGAGCAGGGTGGCTCGCATCTGTAATACCAGCAACTCGGAAGGCCGAGGTGGGAGGATCTCTTCAGCCCAGGAGTTCAAGGCTGCAGTGAGCTATGATCAGCTGTACCCCAGCCTGGGCAAGAGAGCAAAATGCCATCTCTTAAAAAACACAAAACCCCAAAACCCCCATATCTGTTGAGCTTTCACCGAAGAACTTAAATCTGGAAAGCAGACTAAATTCCCAGTGAGTACAGCCTGGAGGCTTTTGACCTCATTCACTCCTCATGTTGCCTCTTTGTTCCCTGCAGAGATTAATGAGCATCAATTACCTGGGCAGCGTGTACCCCAGCCGAGCGGTGATCACCACCATGAAGGAGCGCCGGGTGGGCAGGATCGTGTTTGTGTCCTCCCAGGCGGGACAGCTGGGACTGTTCGGCTTCACGGCCTACTCTTCGTCCAAGTTCGCCTTGAGGGGACTGGCTGAAGCTTTGCAGATGGAGGTAAACATTGTGTTCATGTTTGTATTTATTTCTCCCAGCTCAGCAACATATATTCCTCTTTAGTTTTGGAGCTTCTTTATGTATTACTGCCTTAAATTAGAGATTTGTAGATTTGACATTAGTAAAAGAGAATTGACTCCAACCCTGAGTTTTGCAGTTAACATTTTTTCATTGCATGAAAATTTATAGTATGACAGATGCAAAATGGTTATGGGGTTTTTGCCTGTTTACTTTGATACACAGAAAGTACCAGTAATATCTTCATACTGTATTGGTCCGATACTATATGAGTATGGGTAAGGTTAACCAGATATTTTATTCTACAGAGATTTTTCTTCAACAAAAAGATCAATTCTTGTGACTGAATAATAAAATGAGGGAAGAGCTTGAATCAGCTACTGTCTAATTCTTAGCTTGTAGACAAGTCATTTAACTTGCTTTCAGTTTTCCCATCTGTCAGATGAGAGGGTTGGAATAAAAAAATCATTTGGCTCTCTTACTACCTGTATTTTCATATCTTCAGGAAATGTTGAGGAAAGTAGATGCTTTTTATTTTCACAGTTAATAGAACATTTTGTGGAAGAAGGACGTAGTTAGGATTAGCACCAAAATAAGTGTTTGTCATGATGTATAGAACCTTATACCTCAGCTGCATGAAGTAAACTTCTTAATCATTGTCACATGGGGATGCTTAGAGAGCATCACATAAATATCTGTCTATATCACATACCTAAAAAGGCAAGGTATAAACTTCTTTGTTATTGCTATACACAGTTCCAATACTCCCAACGGCTGCCTGAAACTGCAGATCGTACCAAACCCTATATATACTATGTTTTTTCCTATATATACATACCTATGATAAAGTTTAATTTATAAATTAGACATGATAAGAGATTAACAACGTAACTAATAATAAAATAAAACAATTATAACAATATACTATAATAAAAGTTATGTGGATGTGGTCTCTTTCTTTCTCTCAAAATATCTTATTCTACTATAATCACCTATTTTTGGACTTTGGTTGACTGCAGGTAGCTGAAACCACAGAAAGAGAAACCGCAGATAAAGGGGGACTACTGTATGCTGAAATATAACACTACATCATGATGTTCAAAACCTGGAAGAGAATTCGTTGTGGCCAGCCCTCTTGTACTAGATTTTAACCAGGTTTTGGGAAACCCGGTTAATGACTTAGATCAGGGGTTGGTAAAACTTCTTTAGTGAAGGACCAGATTGTAAATATTTTAGGCTTTGAAGGCTAAATGGTGTCTATCACAACTACTCAAGTTTGCTGTGATAGTAGGAAAGCAGCCATGGTAGGCAATGCATAAATGAGCAGGTATGACTGTGTTTCAATAAAACTTTACTTATAAAAACAGGCAGAGGGCAAGATTTGGCTCATAGGCCATAGTTTGCCAACCCTGTTTAGAAGATCCTCAGAAGAGACCTTGGTGGTGTGTGATGGAGTGCCACACTGCCTAGATATTAGACGAGAACTGCAGTACGGGTGAGTTGTTGGGTCAGCGGCTAAGTCCTGATGCTTTACTTGGGAGCTGATAGACTGTGCCATTATCATACCAAAGGAACCAGCCACAGATTGCATCGTTAACAACTGGTTTAATAGTTTTAATCAATAATAGATCATTACAATATGCTTAGCCAATAGGGCACACGTGGCTATGAAATTTCAAACAAGAATTCTGGTATTTTTGCAGTCTTTACTTTGAAAAGTCCCTTTGTGAATAACCATTTTATTTTTATCAGAGTTTTGTTTTTTTGTGTTTTCTTTTTTTTTGGCTTTTTGAGATGGGGTCTAACTGTGTAGCCCAGGCTGATCTCAAACTCCTGGCCTCAAACAGTCCTCCCACCTCGGCCTCCCAAGTCGCTGGGTTTACAGGCATGAGCCACCACATCCAACTTTATCACAGTTTTGTGAAATATGTGAGGTAGATGTCATGCCACCTTTTAAATGAGAAAACTGAGTTTCCTATAAATTCAATGAGTTTCTCAAAGGCACATAGTTACTTAGTGACAGAAATAAAAACAAGGCCCAAGCTCTTGACTGCACATCTCTTTTGCAGCAGGTGATGCAGAACAGAGCTTGCTTAATTCATCTGGTTAGTTGCCTTGGCCTTTTACTTTGGTCTCCGAATCCATGTAGGTGAAGGGATGTTTTGGAGATGAAAAATTTGCCCATTAGGGCTTTTTGCAGAGTTGTGTCAGGATTCACTACTTTAGGGCAAAGCTTATAATCTGGGTGGCCTGGTTTCACTTCAAGTAGAGCGGAGATGCTAATAAAGAAGAGGACAAAGAAAGTGAATTGCTAGTACAGAGTGAGTCCCCTCAGCCTCTCTGTGATACATAATTTCCCACGCCACAGGGGGCTGGCCTGGACTTTCAAGTTTGCTTGACTTCTGTCTGTATTTGGACTCCATTAAAAATGTCCTCACTTAGCTATGATCACGCCACTGCACTCTAGCCCTGTGACAGAGCAAGACTCTGTCTCAAAAAAAAAAAAAAAAAAAGTCCTCACTTGAATAAAAATTAAAAGTAATCTATACCATGAAAAATAGATTTGGGGGGAAATAAATTCAGTCATCGAAATCTACTTCATTCACAGTAAGGCTTGCATCAAACCAATTGTTTCCCTACAAATTTATAGCAGTATTTTTTTGAAACCTGGATAATTTGATCAAGTTGGTTGTGTTTTCTATAAATGAAATCTTACATAATTGCTCAAACTCTAAGTGCTTTTGATGATCCTTTTTAGTTCGATTAACTTTGAAGTTTCCTGTCTCCCTCCCCTTGCCCCCAAACTAAGGTAGGGCCCTGGCAGTGTTGTAGGTACAATGAGTAATTTTGGGAAAGAATACTTTGTTGGCTTTTTTTTTTTTTTTTTGGTCTTTTTTCTTACTCAATCTTTTAGGAACAAATATATTATTTAAAGATTTTAAAATGTTATCTCTTTGGAAAGCAGACTTCTGAGGTGGATAATAGCCACACACATGTTAGCAGAGACCAAGCCAAAAAAACAAAAAAATAAGTGTCCTCTTTCTGTGTATCTTACCCCTCTCATGCCCCTCCCCTGCCCTCATCTCTTCCCGCTGTGATCTAAAAGCAAGCTAAAGTTTAAATTCTCCAGTTTGTGTAAACAGCTATAATCTTCTCCCCAACCCCGTCTTTGTTCTGATGGAATGAGGAACCACACTTTCTAGTTGGATTATTTTGATAATAAATTAATTCTTGAGCCAGCGGTCAGTCTTTCCATTTGAGGTTGAGGCCAGGCAGAAGGGAGAAGGTGATAGCAGGATGGGAGTGGGACACAGCGGGGGACAGAGAGCAGCCTGGCAACAGACACGAGGAGAAGCAGACAGTGGCTAGGTCGGCTAGTGAAGACCTGGCTTATCTGTTCTTAGAAAAAATGATGTCTCAGGGAGTTAGCATTGTCTTACCATGAGCAAGTGAAGCCAAGCTACCCTCATTTCCTTTTTTTATAGGGTTATGAGATCAGTAGATTGAAGGAAGGTATAGATATAGATTAGTGTATTCAGCTTTTAGCAAATTATTTGAGCAAGAGTTTCAGGAGACTAGAATCTCCATGAGGGCAGGAATTATGTTTATTTGTTCACATTCATATGCTTCATTCTGAGAATGATATTGGCACATAGTAGTAATTCAATAAGTATTCACTGGATGAATAAACACAAGACTGCATAAATGGTTAAGCGACTAGCCACCGGAGGTGTTCAGCCATAGACTGGCAGTCATTTGGCTTGATGGTCTTAGAGAGGATACCAGCCCAGGACCGGGCTGGACTGGTTTCTCCTAACCCTGGCAATCTGTGTACCCACCGCACGAGAAAGCTGTTCGGAAAAGCTCTGTATAGCCTCTGGCAATTCAGCCATAACCTTGAGTTTGGGAAGCAGTGCTTTGACTTTAGCTTAGGTACCACAATCCTCACTTGTGAGGAGCAGCACAGAAACAACCATGTCTGAGCAGTCAGGGTCAGTCTCTGTAGGGGCTAACGACCTCTGATGGGGTGTTTTGTGGGGTTTTTCTCTGGTCTGTGTACAATGGAGGGCAAGGCCGTGGGAGACAAGATTTTTTTATAAAGCTACTATCTCAAAAACAGTGGAAGAGAAGTTGCTTGCTCATCAGGCTCATTGCCTGGCCCCAGTCCAGAGCTATTTCTGAGTGTAGCCGGGCCGTGCAGCTGCATGCCTCAGCGATGCCGAGCGGACAGGCTGTCCCGCGCTCTAGTTGCGTTGGAACAGAACCAACAAAGACATCTCCCTTTTGCTACTGCGCTTTCCGGGGTGGCTGGCCAGGATCTTCTGCTGATACGCTTCTGCGTGCTTCCCTGACCCCTGCAGCTCCCACCACAGGCCTCGGAACTGTGCTTCACTGGGGGGACCAGGGAGGAAAGGGACACATGATCAGACAGGACCCTGGGTACTCTGTGAGGCTGTATGAGGCAGCCGTGTTGTCTGTTCTCAGCTGAAGAACTGAAGACATGCAGTGACCCTCCTACGCCTCTCTACTTCCAGATCCCCTGGGCGTTTTAATGGGGACCAAAAATGAGCCAATAGCAAACAGAAATGATGGCAAAGGGATTCTGATGGTATGAGCCATTGCCCTAATTACCAGGGCAAGATAAGAGTGGGCAGCAGGGCCGTTGCTGAGCAGAGTCTTCAGGAAGGGCGTGTCTTGTGTGCCCAGCAGAAGAATCTACTGTAATTTTGGGGGCGTGTTTGTGAGTAGGTGTGGAGGCATGGTGGGGTTACGAGTATCAGGGAGTGAGATGGAGCTTTAGATAAGACAGCAGTTCCCTTATGTAAACTTGGGCTGAGGTGGTTCACAGGGGAGGTGCTTGGCTGGTCTGACGTGGGGGTTGCAACCAGTAGGAGAGTGCTCTCTGTTGGTTCCGTGGAGAAGGAAGTGACTCTTGACCTCTTAATGGTCAGGGGTGGTCGTGCAGGGAGTTCTCAAATAAGCGAACCTCTTAGGGACAGATTCAGTTCTAGACTGGGCCTGCGGGGCACAGCAAGGCCACAGGGGAAGGGATTTTAATCACCCCAGCCTATTTTGTAGGTATCAATGTTGGAGTCTCAGAAGCAGCCTAAAGGGAAAACAAGTTCTCAGTCTGGGGGAAGAGGAAGGAGCAGGCCAGTCCCACTGCCTTGGCGAAGTGCTTGAACGGTGTGCAGCGTACGGGGCAAAGCGAACAGGACATTTTTTTTTTTTTTTAAACACTGTCTGCTGTCCTGGTTGGACAGCTCCCCGGGCCTCTGCCTGGTGGCCGGCGTGGAAGACACTGGGAAGGAGGTAATTTGCTGTACTTTCAGATCAGCTGAGGTAGGGATGAGCTTTCTGTCTCCGTTTCAGAGTCATCTTCGTGGAGCGGAGTTTCTCGATGCAGTTGGTGGTAGTTCTCCACTCACAGAAACACCCTGTTGGTCTCGCCACAGTTTGAGAACCAGGACGGCCAGTGCAGGTTGGCATGTAGGGCCTCGGGTTGTGTCCCGTTTCCTGAAGGTGCACATGTTGTTTCTGAAATGCAGGTGAAGCCGTACAACGTCTACGTCACAGTTGCCTACCCGCCAGACACAGACACCCCTGGGCTAGCCGAAGAAAACAAAACCAAGGTCAGTATTCCTGCATGTCCCATTTTGAATCTTTAATGTGCTAAAACACTTTTCTGATTTTCTTTCTGCTCTCCAGCTCACACATGTTTCCATCAGCCAGCAACGTTCATCGAGTGTCTGTCGGGTGCAGAGCGCTGAGCTGGTTTCCAACGACCTTCCTGAGGTTCTCCAGGCAAATCTTCCTTCTTTCCTTCCTCTCTTCCCTCACCCCCTTTTCTTAAAGTTTAATTTAAATTTTTTTCAAATTGTTATCAGAGACATACATCACACAGTTTTAGAGATCCAGTATCAACCCTTGGTCTCATCTCCCCCATTCCCGATTTCTGCTCCGAAGAGGCAGCCCTTTATTTTAACTAACATGTTTATACTGTTTGTTTTTTTTTTAGACATAGAAATTATTCATTGACTTTCTGCTGTAGAAGATAAAATTTAAGACACATTTCTATTCCCCACTCCCTGTGTACTCCCCCCATCACTGGTTAAATCAGGTTCAGTGTTTAAAGTTTTATAATATTTCTTTATAAACATTATTTGCACTCTGTAATGACATTTCCTTTCTTGCCTTTTCATTTGCTTAGCTTTGTGTGTATCTGTCAATATAACTAATTCAACTCCAGATTCAGGCAGAACTGAGAATCTCCTTTTGATCCCTTTGAGCACATGGGTATTCTGTTAGTTTCACTCTTTTTTCCTCAAAGACCTTTCTTCTAGGGTCCTCCTGCTTCCTGGTCATTCTAGGTCTGCTGCCCAGCGGTGGTCTCAGGACTTGTCTTCACCATCATTCTGCCTTTTCCTTTGGTAGATCCCATACGTTTCACTTTTTTGGTTTATCTGCTCATTTTGGTGGATCTATCCTCCGTTAGCTTCCTGAGAAAGGCACATCAGAGGTAACTTTTTTTTTGAGTGAAAAAATGCCTTTATTAGAGTGAAAATGCCTTTATTTTCCCTTTATTTATTTATTTTTTTTGAGACAGAGTCTCACTGTGTTGCCCCGGCTAGAGTGCCGTGGCGTCAGCCTAGCTCACAGCAACCTCACACTCCTGGGCTCAAGTGATCCTCCTGCCTCAGCCTCCCGAGTAGCTGGGATTACAGGCATGCGCCACCATGCCCGGCTAATTTTTTCTATATATTTTTAGTTGTCCAATTAATAATTTCTTTCTATTTTTAGTAGAGACAGGGTCTCGCTCTTGCTCAGGCTGGTTTCAAACTCCTGAGCTCAAACAATCCGCCCGCCTCGGCCTCCCAGAGAGCTAGGATTACAGGCGTGAGCCACCGCGCCCGGCCTTCCCTTTATTTTTGATGGATTGTTTTATTGGGTACAGAATTATAGTTTGGAAGTAATGTTTCCTCAGATTTCTGTGGCTGTTTATTGATTTCTAGCTTCCAGAGTTTCCACTGGTAATCTGATGCCATGTTGAGTCCCAGCCCTTTGCATAGGACCTGTTTATCTTCTGAAAGCTTTTTATCCCTTTCTGTCTTTACTTAACATATTTTGGTGCGGAATCGTCTCATTTCATATACTAGATACTCAAATGAGCTCTTTTGTTTTGTCAACTCATGAACTTTGGTTCTGAGACTTTTTTTTTAATATTACTTCTTTGATAATTTCTTTCTATCCAAATTATTTCAAGTGTTCATTCTTTCTGGAGCTTCTGTTATTCAGACATTGAACTTTCTTTTTTTTTTTTTTTTTTGAGACAGAGTCTCACTGTGTTGCCCTGGCTAGAGTGCCGTGGCGTCATCCTAGCTCACAGCAACCTCAAACTCCTGGGCTCAAACGATCCTCCTGCCTCAGCCTCCCCAGTAGCTGGGACTACAGGCATGCGCCACCATGCCCGGCTAATTTTTTCTATATATTTTTAGTTGTCCAATTAATTTCTTTCTATTTTTAGTAGAGACGGGGTCTTGCTCTTGCTCAGGCTGGTTTCGAACTCCTGAGCTCAAACAATCCGCCCGCCTCGGCCTCCCAGAGAGCTAGGATTACAGGCGTGAGCCACCGTGCCCGGCCCAGACATTGAACTTTCTACACTGTTCCTCTAATTTCCTTTCTCTCATTTTCTATCTCTTGGTCTTTTTGTTCTGCTTTCTAACTATCCTTAAAGTTTATCCTTAAAGTTTTCTGTTGAAATTTTTATTTCTGCTGACTTATATAAAAATTTTTCCAGATATCATTTCTCCGAATGTTTTGGAAAGTTTTTTTATAGCTTCTTGCCTTTTTTTATGGATTTTATATTTTCTCTTATTTCTAAGGGTATTTATTCTGGGCTTTTGGTCTTGTTTTTGTTATTGTTTTCTTATTTAAAATTTTCCACTATAACTTGTATCATCTGTTTCCTCTGAGTTCCTTTTTCTCTGTTGTTGTTATCTTAGGCTTCCTCAAATGTCTGGTGGTCTTTGGTTGTCCACATTTAAGAGTGAGGCACTAAAATGCCAATCGTAAAGCTTTGGCTTCTCAACTGTCCATTTTTCCGTAGGGGGATCAGGAGGAAAGCAGCCACTTCGTTAGTGTTAGAAGACTCCTCTATGTCAGCAGCTGCCCACCTTCCCTCAGGGTTTGATCAGTTTCCCTAGTGAGGAATCATATTGTCTCCAACCCTGGGGAGAGTAAGACCTGCTGTCTGTGTTGGGAGAGCCAAGCAGGGCCAGGGTGCTGGAGAGCTCACCATTCAGTGCCTGTTTGCTACAAGGTGCCTTATATCTACTCTTAGTGGTGGCTGCTATTCTAGAATGAAGAGCCTCTCATTAGCAAATTTCTAATCTTATGCCATTATCGGGGAGATGATTTGCGGGTCTGATGATTTGGGTCTCCATAGCACTTACCACAGCTGGACATACCCATTGTATAAAATGACTGCCAATCACCCTAAGCTGAACGCAAGTGTCAGGCTTTGTTACTAACACCCTCTTTGCCTTAGTGACATAGAAGTCACTCTCCGAGCAAACCAGTAAGTAAAGTGGGAAGAAAAGAAGGTTTTTGTTTTCTTCTCTTTTATAGTAATACTTTGTAAGTGTGAATCTCCATAGCATAAAAATTGGCACTTACGCTCCATAGACTGTATATTTGCAGAAAGATGTTTATGATTTAAAAGCCATTCTTTTCTCTTTGGCTCTGCCTCTTTTAAAATTACTACTATTTCAAAGAAGTAAATTTAAGCCAAATGTACTGTCTTAGAATAAGCAGAGATCTGCTAAGCAGATTTGCAACATTCAGTACACAGTCTTTTAGTTTGAAGCCAAAGCTGACAAAGGGTGGTGATTTCTTTCTTAAGATTTGCTTCTGATGTTGATTAAGTTGGGGGTTTTTTTTCTCCAGTAAAATTTTGAGTCAGACTTGTTTGGGTAAATAAAATTTGATGTTGCTCTGTGTGCCCCTTAGGGGGCGCCATAGTGCTTTTAAATCTACATGGTTATGCCAACTTGGTGGTCTGGGAGGATGAATAGTGGCACCTTCAAAGGGGCCCTTCTCTTAATTCAGGTTCATCAAGAATACTTGACTTTTATGAAGTGCTTTACTTTTCTATTTTAAGAAAATATATTCTGGTTTTTATTTTCTTTAATTTTTTCAAGCCTCTGTAGTAAATACAATTTACAGTCTCATGCAGTTTGAGGCTTTAGTTTGAAACTCCTAATCAAAAAGTCTTTTTTAAATAATTTTTGAGCACACATGTTTAAATCACCACAAAGAATAATCGAATATAAATGAAAAAAAAAGACCCTTCCCACAAGAAACTTAGGAGGTAAAAATGCAAATACACACATGGCTACAATGTACATTAAGGCAGAAATGTTCAAAGAAAAGAGAGAGAGATTACTCCCAGTTAAGAGTTCAGGAAAGGCTTTTTGAACTAGATGAGAGTTGACATGACCTATTGAAGAATAAAAGGCCATGGTTCGGGGTCTGAAGCACCAGCCTAGAGCATGCAGCCAATCTGGGGACCAATCCATGTTGTCTTGTAAGTGGCTCCTTTTAGCGTCCTGTTGCTTTGCTACCTCTGCAGGTCCTGTAAGAAACAGCTGCAGTTGAACAGGGGCTGGGTTGGGGCTCTCCTTGTCCAGGGCCTTACTTAGCTCTGGCCCCAGAGCGCAGTCCTGTGCCAGCCTGAGAGTATGGTCAGATGGAGTGCTGGTCATGGGAGCAGACTTGCTCAGGACACAGGGTCTAGCCTTTGCATAAGCACCATCAGTTAGGAGGAGTCAAAGAGGGGGTCCTTCTGAGCTTGTATCCAGTGATGTGTTCTTGCTTTGGCTTCCGTGGTCCTCATTGGAGCTGAGACTATACATGTCCTAAGAGAATAAGGGCCTCCTTGTCTTGCCTCAGCTACTAGGCTGAATTTTACATATTAACCAGGTAGAAACTAATTAGAATCCAGATGGGCCTTATTCTAAAAATAGGAATCTTATCAGAGGTGGAAGATTGGAATTATCTGTAAATCATGGAACCATAGAATAATTTATTTTTTGACGTAATGGGTAATAATGATATTAATATGTACATTTTTTCCACCTTTAGCCTTTGGAGACTCGACTCATTTCAGAGACCTCATCTGTTTGCAAACCAGAACAGGTGGCCAAACAAATTGTTAAAGATGCCATAGTAAGTAAAATCCTTGTTGTGTTTTTTATACTATTTGTAGTTGTAGTACTACATTGCTGAAAAGATATTTGTCCAAAGGCTTATTTCAAAACATAAATTATTGTAATTTTTTAGTCAGATTCATTATATCTAATATTGGACTCTACTTTTCTTCACTTCAAGATTTTATTGTTAGTAGGTTCCTGGAAACTAATTATATACCTTAACCTTAGGAACAGATTTACCGGTAAGGATGTCTGGGGACTGTTTAAAAAGAAAATGAAGCCAGGTGTGGTGGCTCATGCCTGTAATCCCAGAAGTTTGGGAGATCGAGGCAGGAGGATCGCTTGAGGCCAGGAGTTTGAGACCAGCCTGGGCAGCATACCAAGACCCCATTTCTACAAAAAATAAAAAAATTAGCCAGGCATGGTGGCACACGCCTATGGTCCTAGCTACTTGGGAAGTCGAGGTGGGAGGATCACTTGAGCCCAGGAGTTCAAGGCTGCAGTGAGCTATGATTGTGCCACTACACTCCAGCCTGGGCAGGCAGGGTCTCTCACAAGACCTTGTCTCTAAAATAAAAAAACTTTTTAAAAAGAAATTTTCCTATAATGTGTAAACACTATATATTTTATACTATATACTATATATGTTTTGTTGCCTTCTTTCTTTTTTCCCCACAGTGTTTTTAGTTTTAGATTATTTCAGATGCCTTATTGCCAGGCTTCTTGTTTAAGGACTTTTCTTTCCCCTTCCTGCTTCCCAGTATCGTTTTCCCAAAAGTTAACTAATAAGAAAGTACGACCGACCAGCCCACTGGGTCCATCACCCGTCCTCCCAGCTGATGTGCTTTTTGGGCTGCTAAGTTTACTCAGAATCAAAAAGGTCATCTTTAGAAACCATGTGCTATTTTGTAGAACAACATATGTGCCACACGCTTTTTTACAATCATCCTGTTAATCATCCTGATTTTTTACAATCACCCACATGCAGAAAAATATACATTTATGAGGGGTGTCTGTAAACCACATTGAATTTGGAAAATCTTTAGGCTCATTGGAATGAGGGTGTCAGTGCATGGCCAGACAGCCCTGAAGTAGCCTGAGTGCTGTTGCATCAGGCTGGACTGAGCAGAGTAAAAGAAATACCGAATCTGTGAAAATATGCACAGGTGTGAAGAACTCTGCCCTGAGTTCGCTAAAAGGCATAGGAAGATGGCACAAGTGGCTTGGATGGGACTTTGTTTTTCTTGCTTATCTCAAATAAAAAAATTAGCATTCAATGTTCTTAATGATCCTCAATAGCTCTTAGTGTTTTGGCAGGATTCATTTAATCTGGTGGTTTTCAAACCTTTTCTTCTCTTGACCACCTTACACTCAAAGATTGTTGACAATCCCAGAGAACTTTATTTACAGGGGTTATATTTATTGATATTTGCAATATTAGAAATTGAAACTCTAATTTTAAAAAATATAATTTATTTAAAATACAATAATAAACTGCATTTTAATGTGACTTTTTTTTTTTTTTTACAAAAATTACTATTTTTCAAAACAAAAATTCAGTGACGAGAGTGGCATCTTTCACATTTTCACCAGTCTCTTTAAGGTCTGTATTGTTAGGAGACAGCTGGATTCTCATAGCTGCTTCTGCATTCAATCTGTGGTAATAACATTGTTGTGATTAAAGAATATGAAGAAAATCCTGCCCTACACAGATACGGAGTTGGAAAAAGGAGGAGTATTTTACTAGGCTTTTTAGATCATTGTAGACATTCTTGTTCTGATATCAAACCCAAACTCAACAAATGGTAGTTTCTTAAAGGTTAGTTGCAATATGGAATTGGAAACCGCATCAATGAACTTTTTGTCCTCTGTTACATTAAATTCCATTGGTCTGTCTTGCACTTTGAATGGATCTTTTAACCATTCATGATTTTGTAACATTATGCATTAGTCATCTGGAAAATATGGTTTCACTGAATAACCAAAAAAAAATTACATTCGTCAATATCACTGCTGGTTTTATCATAAAAGTCTACATGTATTGAGAAGCTGACAGTTTCACAATGGTGGATTCTAGTTTTCACAAATCTTAATTTTTTCTGGAAAGCTCGGATTTTAACATTGACCACATGTATGGCCAGTTGTTTTCTCTGAAGTGACAGGCTGACTTAATTCTTTTCCACAAGTCTGCGATGTACCCAAGTCTGAAAAAAGCAGCAAGTTTAGCTCTGGACTTAAACAGTTGCACGAGGGCTTTTCTTCTGGGCGCCCATCGTCCTTTGGCAGCAGCTTGGCAGAGCGCTCTGTGTGTATTTCTCATTCGTCACACAGGGTATTAGCCTTTGGAGCCCATGTCCTCAATCAAGGGTTGTGATTTAAGAAAGTGATAAATTTTATTGCTTGATCAAGGACATTTTCAAACAAAACTGGCACTTTTAATTTTTTAAAGATTTTGAAAAATTGTATTTTCTTTATGTATTTATTTATTACTGCAGGTACATGTGGCAGTGGAGGTGATGGTGACTACTAGTCCAGTTTGTCAAGAACCCTGAAATTTGTGCTAATGCCCCCGCGGTTTTGCCTATCAGTACAATGTCACTCTGGTGAAAAATTCATTAATGTCTTAGGATTATTATGACAATCATTTTGTCCTCGGGGACCTGCAGGGGCCCGTGGACTCACATTTTGAGAAGCATCTATCTGCCAAGCCCGTGTATCCATTTATGGGTTCTGATAATGTGCTTTGTTTCTGTCTCATTCCACCTAAAGTGAACGAACACACTGCGTCATTTCTGATATGCTGAAGTGATTTCTTTCCACGTTACTACGATTCCGTCTTTCTTTTTTCTTCCTTCTCTTTCAGCAAGGAAATTTTAATAGTTCCATTGGCTCAGATGGATACATGCTCTCGGCCCTGACCTGTGGGATGGCTCCAGTCACTTCTATTACTGAAGGGCTTCAGCAGGTAAGCTCTGCCTGGACCAGCAATCAGACAGACAGACAGACAGATGGGTGGACAGGATACAAACTACCTCTCACCAGCCTTGGTGGGAAAAGGACAAGGGAAGACTAAGTAACTGTACTTGAGAGTGTGAAGAATCTTTATGGAGCTATCAACTTTTCCTCTTTCTCTACCAGGAATAAGTAAATAGGAAATAGGTTAAAGATACAACTTCAGGAATTTAGACTGGAAAGAAGTCTTCCATGCTGGGCATTGCAGATGGAAAGCTGAAACGCCATCTCTGCTGTTGAGGTGTTAATCCGATTTTCATCTAAAAACCGCTTCTCCAGAGTATTCTGAAAAATGGAATCCTCCTCTATCTGAAGTAGTTTAGGGGTGGCCTTGCCTAAAAGTACTGGGGTATTAGGCTGGAAAACCTTTTCTAGGTGAGTTGGGTAACAATACAAGTCAAGGATTAAACACAATTCCTACCCTTGTGGAATTTATTGTTTTATCCAAGACACAAAAGGTAATAATAGTTCATCAATGGGTGAGATGCCGAGTTTGCTCCTGGAAAATCAGATGTAAGGCAACCTCTCCAACCTGAGGGGGCTTACGGTGCAGTGGGAGAAACTGACAACAAGGATGATAGTAGTACAGTGCTATAAGAGTTTCATTAGAGGGATTGTTCTGGAAGAATAAAGCCGTGGGCTAGTTCATGACACATACTAAATTCTGTGCAGTAGAGCATGATCAGACTAATGCAAATGACTTAGTTGTTGGTTTTCCTTGGGTCTTTCCAAAACCCTCTTTCCTTTTCACTCTGTAATATACCCACGATCTTGTCTTTCTCTCTTGGAGGTTGACACTCTGTTAGATATAAACTTTTTGGGGACAGGGTCCGTGTCTCTCTTGTTTGCCATTGTACTTCAAGCAGCCAGCACCTGGCACTCAGCAGGAACTCTAGAACAACTGAGTAGAACAAATGCATGAATTCTTTTTTAAAAAAAGTTTTTTATTGCTCTATCGTGGTTGTATATATTTTTAGGATACATGTGATATTTGATATCTATATACAACGTGTAATGATCATATCAGGGTACTTGGCATATCTATCACCTCAAACATTTATCTTTGAGTTGCAAACATTATAATTCTTCTCTTATAGCTATTTTAAATATACAATAAATTACTGGTAACTATAATTTCCCTACTGTACTGCTGAATTCTAAAACTTATTCCTTCCGACTTTATATTTGTACTCCTTAACCAACCTGTCTTTCCTCCCCCTCCTGAATGGGTGAATTCTGCGCATTCTTCATGAGCAGTCTCCTCCCTTCTCATGACTTCCACTTCTACACGAATGACACCAAGGATAAAACTCCAGCCCATGACTAGTTTTTGAACTCTAGTTTTGTATAAACATTTACAGATATTTTAGATATTTTCCCTGGGGAGTGATGACACATCTTCTATTGAACATACGTCCTGCCGCCTGCCTCACCCACCCCCTCTTCCTCCTGTGTCTGTCTCTGGGATCTGTGCTCACGTTCACAGAAGCGCCCAGCCACAAACTGGGGTGTCGTCCCCACCTCCCCTGCTTCTGACCCTCATCACTCTATTCCTCAAATCCATTTGTTTTCTACAATCCTGTTGCTGCTCCCGGAGCTCAGGCCTGGGTCACTGTAGCAACTTGCCTGAGTTGTACACTTTGCGAGCCAGAGGTTGTAAATGGGTTCCCAAGGGCCTATAAAGCATTTTGTTTGGTCCATCTGCCATGAGCGTGTGTGTTCAAGTAAAATAGTTTAAAAATTAGATTTTACATCAAAAGTCCAGATTTCAGACTTTTCTTAGAAAATGAGAAGGTCTAGTAGCACAGGGTCTGCATTCTCACCTGGTAGTCATCAGTGGGCACAGGTGGCAGCTGCTCCTGTGGGACAAGGCACAGTCCCCCCGCCAATCATTGTGGTCTGCAGCCCCCTGCCCGAGCCCCCAGATGTGCTGGAGTATGTCGTCACGTTTCCACACTGGTTTTTCTAAACTGCAAATCCACCTTGCTTGAAAGCCTTTCAGTGGCTCCCCAATACCAACACTGGGATGAGGCTTAAATTCCACTGCAGGGCACAAGCCCTCGAACCTCCTACCCCACGTACCTTTTGGGCCTCTTTTCTTTCTTTCCCTACCCTTCCTCTTCTTTCTGGAACTTGATCTGTGGCTTACCAACTTCTGATCTTCCTTCAGTTCTCACCTTTAAATGTTGCATTTTCCCGACAACTCCAGGACTGGGTTCAGTGCTCTGGGGATATCGGGGGGGGGGAACCAAAGTGTTCTTTGTATTAGACAATCAACACAGAAGGCTTTTGTGACCTCTGGTCACCAAGAAGTGTGTGGGGATTTCTCCCCACCAACAACCAATCAGTCAGTTCTGCAGTGGTGGATTCTTCAGTGGACACCAGTTGGGTGTCCTGTAATTCACTTCAATTCTGACATTGTCTACCTGGAAATAGCGCCAGATCCCACAGGTTAAGGGCTCAGCCCCACAAGACTGCCCTGCACTTAAAACACCAATCACAAGTAATAGGTGTCATCTATAATTCTGTCTGATCAGCTACGAATTGGGGTTTCTGCAGACCCTTCCTTGGGTTTGATCAATTTGCTAGGATGGCTCATAGAACTCTAGGAAACACTTAATTGCATTCACTGATTTATTATAAAGGACATTACAGAGGATACAGATGAGTAGCCAGATGAAGGGAGAGATGGGGCCAGGCACATGGGGAAGGCCGTGGAGCTTCCCATGCCCTCTCTGGGCGCGCCACCCCCAGGAGCCCGGTGCAGAGCTGATGCCTGGCTTCCCCCCACGGTCATGCTGGGGAGTTGCCTCTGCTTCTCTTCAGTATTGGGCCCCCTGCCTCCTCTGTCTCGTGATATTGGCATTCTGTGTTGACCTCCTCACTTTGCTCGTTTACCTCTTCTACAAGCTTTCTGAAAAACCTGGGGGCCTGGGAGGCAAATTTGTTGAGACCTTGCATATTTGAAAATGTTTCTCTTTGTGGTTTTCTGCCTTTCTAAAGTCCCATTCAGAGTTGTTTTAGTGAGAGTCTTGTAGGGGAAAGAGTGAAGGTAGATGAATACGGATAATTGCTGTCTCACCCCAAAACCAGAATTGCCTTTTTACTCTATTGTCCTTACGGTCTGAGGGTAAGTTCGTTGAGGGCAGGGACTGTGTGTTTCTCGCCACAGCTTTTCTGCACCTGGTGCAGGGTCTCGCTTTTGTGCTCAGAACATACATCTTAAACTGAAAAGCCTTGATCGTAGTTTGGATATTTGGGATGCTTGAGTGGATCTTCCCTAGCTATTATAACCCTAAGACTACTAAGAATACATATTTTGTTCTGTTTATGGTTTGAATTTACTAATTGGACCAATAGTTTACTATCTATCTGGCAGGCCCTGTGCTCTACAGTGGTGCAGGACACACGTATTTTGTTCTCAGGGCTTATTGATGTTTACAAAGTTTTCATTATACTTATCCTTGAAGACATCCTAGAAGATGTCTTAGAAACTATTTATTAGGGACCTAAATACCTTGAAATGAACTATTGCGTTGTACTCTTGGACGAGCTAAAATGTCTCTCTCTATCGCGCAGGTGGTCACCATGGGCCTTTTCCGCACCATTGCTTTGTTTTACCTTGGAAGTTTCGATAGCATAGTCCGTCGCTGCATGATGCAGAGAGAAAAATCTGAAATCACAGATAAAACTGCCTAATTCCTACCCCTTGGAAGAAGACTGTTTCCAAATAATTTGGACATCTTGCTGCTAAATGGGACCCAATTTTTGGCCTATAGACACTTACGTATTGTTTTTGAATATGTGAGATTGGACTGGTGCTCTTCAGAAATCTGGCTGCAAGCAAGGAGATAGAAGCTCAACTCCAGACAATATTATTAATACTATGCAAATATGGAATAGGAGCTCTGAGATGGAGAGGTGATGGTATGAGAACTAGTAGCATGTGAACAAGGTAAAGAACAGAATTCCAGAATGATAATTTAAAATTTTTTTTCTAATTATTCTTTTTTCCCCCCCATAGAGATCAAATCCAGAAAGGTACTTTATGGCACCGTAAGAAGTCTTGAGAACTTTTCTAACCTTCCATGAAAGGCAGTTTATGGGTTTCTGGGACTTTTTTTTTTTTTTTTTTAACTTGATGTATTTTATTCCAGATTAGTTTTACTCATTGCCAATGACTCTGAATGTCACTGACACCTGTGCTGCTGGTGGCAACTCGTGGCTTCTCTCTCTCTTTGATCCCATAAAGCCACAAGGGGGATGGGAGAGGGCAGTGCAGTGGAAGGTAAGGAGATGGATATTTTCCAGTAGGAAAAACAGTAGTTTCTTGTCTTCTTTAGATTTGACTGCGTAGGGAACTTTTCATTCTTCTCTCATGGGGAAAGGCAGCCTCCTTAAATGTTTTCTGAAGAGAAATAAAATCTTAGAAGCTTAAAAGTTTACAATTTCTTCAATAGCCATGATGACCTGAAGTTCACCTATTCCAGTTTAGTGTCTACTTGTTCTTCCCATCTCTTCCTTTCCAATTTTGCTTACACTGCTGTAATATTTTTGTAAAAAAAAAAAAAAAGAAGGAAAGAAAAAAGACCAGTTAAAATTTTTGACTTGACTTTTTAAATTAATTCATGAATTAATTAAAACAAACAACAACAAAAAAAGCGTGACATTCTTCTCGTAGCGTATATGTAGCTTTTAGGAAAGGCTGATGGTTGTATATTTAAATTTAACTCATTAAGAAAGATGAGGCTGATTTTGAAGATACTCGTTTTTGAAATAAAATGATCACCTGTTCTTTCCATGACTCTCCTACTGACCCTAACAACATTCTCTTCATACCATGTGTTAAGGAAGCCCATGCATCACTCTAACCATATAGCCCTGGAAATCCTCTCAGCCCCATGAATGTTGTTTCTGCATTACAGAATCTGTTGTTCACTTAGTGGATTTCTACAGCAAGTGCCTATGATGAGTTTTAGCAAACATTCCTTGTTTCATCCTGTTCATTGTACACACTCCTCTGACTTAAGGATAATTACCTTTGTCCTGATGTTGTTTCTCCTCCTCCTTGCATATACAGTAGCACATTCCAGTTCACTTTGGTGAGAAAAGACCTCTGCTTTTGAAGAAGAAACTTTATTGTTAAAAAAAAAAACAAAAAAACCAAAAAAACTCCACCACAATAAGATTGAAGACCTAAAAATTATAGCAAATCTTTTTTGCTCTTGAGTTTTTGAAGCTCTTGATGACTTAATTTTTAAATAATAATTTGTGTAATGGCTTTAATCCATGGTATCTTTTTATCAAGATCTCAGAATGGCATATTTTAAACACTGATAAATACAGAAGAAATCATTATTTAATATATAAATTGCTTGGAATGACTTCATTACAGTTTACAGGGCTGGATTGATGCCAAAATGGTTTAACGAATCTTTCAGTCTTACATAGCCAAAGTTTGCAAACTATATTGAGTTGCATTCTGCAGCCACTAACACGGGATAATGGCTTTTCCTAATTTGCAGAAAGCTATTACATTAATGTCTGGACATTTCTCAATTTTATTCTTTTCTCATAAATGTTCCTTGAATGTTGGCACCTTCTGCTGATCTATATTAAAATCCACTCTAAGATGGTGTCTAATTTAATAAAATTAACTATTTAACCATAGTTATTTCAGTATATATATTTTTTCAGATTATCCTCATAAGAGAGTACTGTCCCCTCCAGGTAATCCACCGCCTAGACAAATGTAAGCACCCCTGTTCTGTAGTGGGAGGTGTTGCCCGTAACCCAATTTAAACTCCAGCACGAGAGCAGATTTGTAGAGCTCATGATCTTAGATAAGGAGCTTCTTTATCAGAGATGTTAAAGGTCCACAGTCCCTTACCTAAAAAACTCAGAAATCTAAGTTGGTTGGTTTGGTTTTTCTAAATTTGATGCCATAATTCATTTGGTAGCAAAACCTGATTTAAACTGATGGGAGATTATTGTACTTTTTTATTTATGCCACTTCACGTGACTGTTAATTTTACCTGAAGAAATATCAGTGGGTTTGATGACAGATATTTGGAGTTTCATAACATTCAAAATATGCCCATATTACCTTTTTTCAAAAATTATGAATTCTGAAACATCTGGCCCATGGGTTTTGGATAAGGGGTTGTAGACATTTAAGGAGCATCACACAATGGTCTGACTTCATCCAAAACATGAAAATATTACAAGGCAAATTATATTTTTTATCTTTTTTGGCTCAATTCTTATACAACTTGGTTTTTGCTCAGGGGAAGAAAACAAAACAAAACCCTGAATCTGGATGGTTAGGGAATCGATTTTTTTTTTTTTTTTTTAAGGATCACATTGATTCAGCACGTCCTACTGGACCTAGAAGTGGGTAAATCTTACCTGTGGCAGTAGAAGTTCAATTATAATTCTGTTGGTTCTGTAAATGTGACCTGCAACAGCTTATTATGTGAATTTCAGTTCAGAAGTGCCTGCTCTTTGGTTTGGTTGTACTATTTTATTATAATGTATTTGTGAGCATATTTATTTAGAAATTAACATCATTCAGCCATAGAAATTCCAAAATATGTTCAAGGACTCTTCATAATTAAAACATGTATAGAAAACAATCGTTTCTTTTTTAAAAGACAAAATCATGGGAATTACTCTTTTCTATATATTATAAATCTTTATCTGGATCTGTTAAACCATATATTATTGATTCTTGCCAGTGAAACTTAGGGAGACTGTTTCTAATGTTTATATTATGAAAGAATTTTGGTAATAGTTGCTTCAATTTGAAGAATTGTATGTCTTTTTCTTTGTAGAAGAAGGCAATACCATAATTTTTTGCTGAATTGTATCAACAAATTTCACTTTATTACATCATGTTCTAATTTAAACATGTATTACTCACTTGAGACCACTTCTAAATATTCATACTTTTTGACATAAGATGCTTTGTAGCTTTCTCATTTCCTTTAGTTCTTAGTAAGTCAGCTTTAAAAAGTACCTGCTAACCAAAACTTTCCATGTTCCGGACTAAGTTTTTCGGTTCAGATTATAGTTCAGTACAGTGACTGTGGATTTGGTATTTTGAGGAGGAGATAGTAGCTGTTATATTTTACACTTGCTTGATGAGACAACTCTAAAGACATTTTTAAATTGATAAAAGTGTACATGGCTATTTTGATACATATTAGAACTTGTGTTTGCTACTTTAGAAGCTTTTGTGGCAGAATTGTAACCTAACTTTCATATCTTGTATTTCTGAATCACAACAAAAAATAAATGGGGAACAAGCTTTACAGATTTGAAAACTTATTTCTCTGGGAATTTGCATTTTTAAGAGCCCATTTAAGCAAAACATAAATGTCTTCTATAATGTTATCCTGACTTTCCATCCTAAGCATTTCACCAGGCCTGATTTTTATCCTTTTTTAGGAATTATTATTTTTGGAGTACTTAGTATTCTGAGCTCTTGTTTCAAGTATGTTCTGTTTGTGTGCCTATGATGTGGGATACATGAGTTTAAGAAATGTGGAATTTAGTAAAATTTCTTAAGTAATTATGTTTTCTGTACAAATAGATTTCCCATAATTTAAATTAAACCTGCATATTCCAACAATGAAATATCTTCTAGACCCTGATGGGCAGCAAATGATACAAGACTGATATGTAAAAGAACATGCCTTGTTATTTATCAGTTTTTAAATAGAAAAATTTTGACACATTGAGAAGAGATTTCTTGGACATCTTGGTTTGCAAGCTCAACGTTTCTTTACATTTGAACAATGAATAGCTTGTGATACTATAATTTTTATGTTTGGATGTTAAAAAGAAAATTATTTTTTGATTTCTGTTCCACTTCTGATTTTATAACCTCCATTTTTCCTCATTCAACATGTATTCGTTGAGCACCAATTTTGAGCTCTGTATCAGGCACTGGAGATACAATTCCGCATAAACAATTTGTCCCTCTCTAGCGTCAATTAACATTTGTTTCCTCACCCTCCCTCACCCCCCTTTCATCCCTCTGATGGCTCTGCTGTGTCCTTACAAGTCTTCCTGGAGAAAGAGGAACCACTCACCCTTCCCTTCTTCAGCTTGGAGCCTCTGAATTTTAGGCCCCAAATATCTGAATGCTAAGCACTGTTCTAAGCTGGGAATGCACCAAGGAAAAATACGGTCTCTGCCCTCAAATAGTTTATAATCTAGTGAGAAAAACATATGCCAGAAATTACGCTGTGATCCGAGAATAGCTATTATTAAGATATAACTAACACTGAAAAGTTAACAGGTGTCAATCAGTCACTGTTGGGAGTGCTTTGCATGTTTTAACTCATTGAAATCATACACGAACCCTGAGAGTAGTACTATTTATAGCTCCATGTTCTAAATGAGGGAATAGGAACAGAGGGGTTAAATAACTAGCTCAAGGTCATGGTTACTAAGTGATGGAGCCAGGATTCAAACTCCTGCTTTGATTTTTAAGCTTCTAGGCTCTGTACTAAACATCTTCTAGCAGCACAGGTGGAATCCTAAGACTGCCCGGGACAGTCTTAGGTTTCACAGAGGAAGTTCTTGAGCTGACACTTGAGGAATAAGTATGAATTTGACAGGTGAAAAGGTTGGGTGCATTTCAGGGAGACCAGCAGAAAGGCAAAAGATGTGAGGGATCTTGGCATATTTTAGAAACCACAAAAAGTTAATATAGCTGCAAGAAGGGAAAGAGAAGCCTGAGGTGGCAGGCTTGGGCCAGATCATGCCCTCCGAAGAGGTGAGATTTTAGCTTTTGAAGAACTTCAAGCAGAAATGTGCAATAGCTAGAGTTTAGCTTTAGAAAGATCACGGTACCCCCTGAAATTCAGTTCTAATGTTGCTGAGTCCTTAGGCCTTAGGGTAAAAACCTCATTAGTTTGAAAAATATCATATTTGACACATACTGTTATGGGTTGAGTTGTGTCACCCCAATAGGTGTTGAAATCCTAACTCTCAGTACCTGCGAATGTGGCCGTATTTGGACATAGGGTCTGTACAGATGTAATCAGGTTAAGATGGGGTTATTAAGATGGGCCCTAATCCAGTATGACTGGTGACCTTGTAAGAATAGGAGAAGACAGAGCCACCCAGGAAGAATGCCATGTCACAGCAGAGGCAGAGATTAGAGATATACAACTGCAAGCCAAGGAATATCAAGGATTGCTGGCCACTCCCAGAAGCTAGGAAGAGACAAGGAAGGATTCTACCCAGAGCTTCAGAGGGATCATGGCCCTGCTAGCACCTTGATTTTGAATTTTTAGCCTCCATAACTGTGAGAGAATAAATGTCTTTTGTTTTAAGCCACTCAATTTGTGGTACTTTGTCATGGCAGCCCCAGGAAACAAACATATTAACCTTGATTTTTCTAATTGTGTTCATTAGCAATTAATATATGGGAGATATTGTGCTCTGTGCTAAATAGCATACAAGAATAAAAGTTATTGCACATAATAATGTAAATTCTTCCCCATCCCACATTGATACTATGGTGTTAAACGCTGTTTGGCTCTATTACTGCAGTTTCAATCCAAGGAGAGAAGTATGCATTTGAAATATACAAGACAAGTTCCTATGCTTAGTTTATTTCACTTTAAATGCCA